GGTGGTAGATTCTGAGCAAGCGCGGTCGTAAGGAAGAAGGCGAAGAAAAAGAAGTAAAAGGCAGCTGAATGAAGCGGTGGTGACTGTGAGTGACGGGTTTCCAGTTTCGCCATTTTTGCTTTGCTTTGGAGCTTCGTAGAGGAGTTTCTTCTGTCTTTGGTTACCAAAATTTCCACAAGGTTAGCGAAATATACATCATTCATAATTAAACTTTGGATATGGGCAATAATCATGTCCAAGTTCAAGAGGTAAAAGCACCCCCTCAATTAGTATTGTTTTCTAAGCCTTGATTAAGACATATATTCTTTAACCGCAGGTTGTATAAAGAATAAAGAAAAAAAAGTTTACTTAAATCAATCATGATTATTATTATGTTAATCAATATTTAGATATTAAGAAAAATTAAAGATTAAAAAGTATATTTGGTCTCTTAACCTTTATTAAAGTAAGATCTAATTCGTGTATTTTTAAATTGGTTACAATTTAGTCCCTATCAAATTTGGTTAGATTTAATGAAAGTATAATGTGGCTTATACATGTGTATAAATTAAATGGTCAATTATGTGGGTTGGTTCAAGTCGATTTAATTTTGAACCGATTTAGAACTTAGAAAATAAGTATAAAAAGAAAAATGAATTTTTCTTTAAATAAGTAAAAGTATTTGAAAAAAAATCTGAAATTTTGTAACCATTTGATTGATTTGAGTAAATAAGAATTTTTAAACGTTGAGATTTGACGGAGTGAGCTAAATTAAAATTAATCTAGATTACCTAATATATTTATGGAGCTTTTTTCTTAAGAAAGGTGTAAAGATTTTAGTTGTAAAAAATTAATAAAAAAGATAAATATAAACTTGGAGACTTTCCAGAAAATTATATTAAGATTCTAAAGAAATTTTGAAAAGGTTCCATGGATCTCTCATTTTTAGAACAATATTCTGAATATTAAAAAAATTATGAAAAGAATATTGTTTTATATTTTAAATTTTATTTATAATTAAAAATCTAAAGTAAATAGATATCATATATATTAAAAAAAGATGGGGCTTTAGACAATATCCTTACTCGTTTATAGTTTAAATCAATCCTACGGATTGTAAATTAGGGAATATAAGGAAAATACATTATTTTTTTTAGTATTTGAGTGTATATATATTAAAAAAAAAATGACGTGGGGCCGAGAATAAGAAACGAGGACAGGAATGTATGTTTGCAGGGGGTGGGGAAGCAAAAAAATCTAACCGAGAATTTTCCTTCTCATTTAAGTGGATCTCCACCTAAGCCCACAAGTAAAACGAACGAACGGGTTGAAGAATCTACGGAGAGAAGGAAAATCCTTATTTTTCTTTTTTCCTCATTTTCTTTTGAATCTTTATTTTATTTTATGAAGTCTGCGACATTGTTTGGAAAATTTTTATTATTATTAAACATAACTCAACAGTAATTTATATCTAACTACTTATTGGATAATGTTATCTTATTTAAATTTATCTAATTTGATTAATATCGAACCATGAAAAAATAAAATTTAGTTAGTAAACATTAAACTCACCTTGTCACATAATCTCTTATTGTATCATAAGCATACCACATAAGCTATAAATATATATTTCTTTGAATCAACATCACCTTTAGATAACCCGAATTTTTGGGTTGATCCAAAAACTTCCCTAACCCAATCCGTAAACACCTCAACCCCAATAGTTCGCCCACGTGTAAATGAAAAACCCACGTGTTATGTAGGATCCATCATAAACTGGCCGCCTGCCAGTTCTTAGACTTATCCGACGTGTTTTGACTTTCATTAATAAACCACCCCTTAGCATTATATAAATTTTAAAAATATACTTTTACATTATTTTTATTTTTGAAATTATCATTCTTTGAATAGAGTACAATGACATACCAAATTTTCTTGCCAAGTGTGTTGTGGTCACCTACCACATTCTAATACATTGTATTTAGTTAAATTTTAACTGTAAAGTTTTAAATTTTTTTAATTAAACCATGAACAGTAAACTTGGAAATGAGTAGCTTTACTTGGACAAAATTTAATATTTACATTAATTAATTAGTCAAAATATAAATTTTGATTTAAAACTCAAATCTTCCCGTTTGTGCATGGAAACGTTCGTCCAAGCAATAGGGTTTATTCATTCCGTGAGTCAAATAACCTGCAAAACAAAGGTGAATACTCCGATGTCTAGGTCAATATTAATTGGAGAATGGTGGTAGTGTAAGTGGTAGTATATTCAGAGGAGATTCGAACGTACCTTTCTAGATTTAAAGCAATACTTTGTGCATCTCTTTCAAAAGATTTTTGTAATTATTTACGAGGCCTTATTCTCTTAGATTTGAAGCATTTCTTCATTTGTCAGATTGGTTGTTCTTTTTGGATTGTCGTTTTGTGGGCTTGTTTTTGCTGATTTCATTTTTCTCGATGAAAGCTCAATCAGTTTAAGGTCGAAAGACATAATTAAAACTTATTAAAATTTAGGAATTAAATAGATATACAACAATCGAAATTAAAGTCAGTTGAGTGACTAAATTTATAATTTAGTAAAAAATCAAATTCCAAATTAGGAACTTGAACGAATGAACCCTGGTTTGGTTGATTTGAATGCATGCCCACAAAATAGTTGTCTTGTTGGATATTATCCTTCATAGAACCTGTTAGAACCCACAAAACATTGAATAAAGAGAACAAAAAAGTCCACAATTTAGAACTAAAGAGGCCTCGGAAGAAGATATGATATTGAATTTCCTCTGCTCCATGGCAGAACTACCAAGAGCATCTAAGCCTTGGAGTTGGTGCTATATTTGGACGTCTATTGTAGCCTTTCTGCTGCGTTGACTACCCTACCCCAGAGCAAAGAGTCCATATTTAAACTTTAAAAAAAAAATGAAAAAGAAAAAAGTCTTGGGGCATCTAGACTTCCAAAGGACCGAACCTTCTTTCTTGAGTCTAGTTCTAATTGTTCTGCTCTGAAGCAAACTGCGGGTTCTTTCATTATTTTAGCAGAAGTTACCGCCACTCGAGCTTGCTTTGTGCGTAGTTTTCTAAGTTTATTCCCAAACTAGCCCTTGTTTGGCTTGTTATTTCCAACGTACTTTTGATCTGTTGAGCGAGAGCCTCTCTACACAAGAACGAGTTAGGATTATCAGCTTCTAATCTAGAATCTAATGATCGAGTTGATTCCATGACCTAGATTGACTTTCATCGAATAAATTCTATATGGACGGTTTAAGAGCCATGAAGTTAATTTAGAGTGGATTTCACAAACAAGAAACCTGAATTCTAAACCCGGCACACTCTTCTATCTTTCTCATTTGTAGGCCGAATTCTGCTCAATAAGTTAAGGTAGCTCCATGAGCTCTTCCCCTCTCCTTGAAGGTTTCTTCTAGCCAATATTTTTCAAGCAGTGGACCAATCCCCTATTTCATTGGTTCTTGAGTTGTTGGACTTGAAAATCTCAGTCTCCCAACTCCCCTCCAATCAAAATAACCCGCTTACAGTTGCCCAAGAGGAAAATTTCTCGGGGTAACTAAGGGAGCCCTACCCACCATAGTTTAGATCTCGGCACCCAGAATTTTGAAGCCACCTCAACCAAAACCTTGATGACGATCCAACCTAATATTGTCATAATTGAGAAAGGGAATAACCCTAGAACTAGAACATAGACACTGACCTTCAAGCTTTTCACGAGAGCCAACACAAGTGAATAAAAGAGGATCACATCTCCTCGAGTGGCAATATCACTTTCTACCTCGTGGACCAATGGCAACCTTCTCCTCCAAGCCTCATGTTATCAATGAAAATTTGGAGGGTGAATGGCAGAAGATCAGAGGTAAGAGAAATATTGAGGGGATGGGATAAAAGGAAAAACGTGAACTTTGGGATCTTAGGGCTGTTCTAGCCCATATTCTTTGACTATTTTTACTGTAAAATTCTTTTAGAATACAGCTTTTTTATCTGCTCTTTCATAACATTTAGGTTGTTCTCAAACTTCACGAAGTGTTGCTCTTTAGCCCACAAGAAACAGATCAATTGTAATATTCTAATCCTACTTAATGGGAAGGATCAAATCTGATCTTGATCCTGCAAAGAGATTATGTTTCATCATGACTACAGTCCCTGAGTCAATTTCTATCACTAATCTCCCTCACTCATTGTATTTAAATTTTATTCCTTACCTGCGCTACCAATATACTGTCTTCTTGATTCTACAGAGTATTGATATTCAATGTGTAAATTAATAAATTGCTTGTGAAATAAAATTAAGATTTTGAATTGCTAATGATTTACAGCGTGCAAGAGCAAGATTGACTAAAAGTATTACGCCTACATGTCAATTTGCAAAGTTTTCTACTAATCTTATTCACCTCTCAAAGATTGTCATACCAAACTTAATACAGTTAAATTTAATAAGGCAACACCACTTTTAAGTACAAATTCAGACCCTCAAATCATCTGAAAGGACAAAAGAATTCTTAATTAGCAACATGGATCTAGCAGATTATTCTCATAGACAAGCTTTTTAGATCTGACGTTCTAAGTGTTCAGATATTTATCGATAACCTGGCAAGAGATTGAGTATTACAGACAAAAACAAAACTGTAAATTGTACTAACTTCAGGAGGCGATCCTTGCAGACTCTCCCACAGCCTTTTCCATTCTAGTATACCATTCACCAACTCTTGTATGCTCTACCATATCTATTCCAGATTGAAGGTACCGGATTGGTCTCAAGACACCAAAGACGGCCAGATCAGCTAAATTAGGATTTGATCCACCTATTCAGAGACAAATACATTGTGAAACTGTTATTTTTATGTACTTTAACTTTAATCTAAAGAATTGAACAGAATCATGAATTAATTAAGCATACCGAGAAACTGACGATCTTTCAGTGCATCCACCCATGTTTCTGCAGCTCCATACAAGGCTTTACGCTCATCTTTGATGTTATGTCTCTCTTTCAGTTTCTTGGAAACAAAATACATGGCCGTAGCCCCACCATACTTCGATATTATCCTTTGGATGAAACTAAAATTTCCTGCACCATATTAAAGTTATACATACAAGTCAGGCACTCAAACCTCAAATGAATTATTCAATTAAGCAGAGAAAGACACATATCAAAATAATAATAAGAAAAGAAAAAAAGATAGAAGAGCTCAAAACGTTTTCCTCTGCAGATAATAATAGGATTCAATGTAATACAAATTACAAAGTGAATAATAACAAAGCTACAACATTGAGGTTAACTTCAAGATATATAAAACTTAAGAATTAGAACCTTAAGACTACTTCAATTCTGTCCCACAAGCATTGACTCACCATCTCAGTATACAGCGTTATAAAACTGCAATTATACCAAAGATGGACTGCAATTATACCAAAGATGGAGTCACCAAATGACTCTCAACATATGTGATTATGTTTTAAACGAATTGAGAACTACGCATATCCTGGGAGAACCAAAAGATTCGAGAGTCCAGGCTGAAAATACATGCATAGATAGTGGTCTAATGACAAGGGCCGACGACGGAAGCTCGGATACTTTTCTAAGCCACATCAACCTGCTGCTGAACATAGCATTTTAGAGCCCCTTGCTCATCCATCCTTATATTCTCTAACTTCTAATCTAGATCTCTGGTCCTCTCCTCTCTCCCTTAAACTCAGAAATTGATAAGCAAAACAAAAAGGATAATGAATGAATGAATGAAAGGAAAACAAAAAAACAAAAAAAAAAACGCATTACTTTGTTGGAACTTGGATTAAGTCTATTTCTAAGTGATCATTAAAATTAACTCCCCACTATTATAAGCAATTCCAACATCTGTTCGTACAAATTGAAATTGACCTATTTCCATGCAATCAGAAAGTGAAATAAAAATTTATAATTTAGGAACCAAATTACTCTGCAAACAAACATTGTAAAAAATTATAAAACTTTGCAACAAAGTCGGCTAAAATAGTTCATAGATGATCTACTATCATACCATGTGTGGTTATATAGTTGAAAGACTCCAGCGCCTCTTTGAAATTTCTGTATATGTTTGGTGATAAAACGTGCACCAGGTGATTATCCACCCACCTACATGACAAGATATGCTTATCAATCCCCATGTGTTGATAGGCAAAGAAGTCAAATTCTTTACCAGTAACGTAACTGACTTTATTTTCCCTAACATCTCAATTGGGTTCACAGTAAAGCTGCTTGTAAAAGAGTACAGAGGCTTGAGATCTTTAAAATGTTAAAAAACTTGTATAAATGCATACCCAAGCCACTTCCTCTCTTCTTCTGAGTTTGAGGTGGAGTTCTCAGGATGAATTCCTTGGTATAACTTATCAATTATATCTGTACAAGCAGAATAGGGTGATTATCTACAACTACTCTAATTGAAAATATTTGAACATAACAAAAAATGGTATAATCTCCATTTTTCCAAGTAATTTCATGCGAGGCAGAACCTGTAGAATCTACCATCTGTACACCATCAACCATCAGAATCGGCACCTTCTTGTATGCAGACCACTTAATCTCCTTTTTGAAGATGGGATTCACCTCCACCACTTTGTAAGGAATGTTGTAATAGTCCAAGAATGCTGAAGAAAAATAGAATGAACAGAAGTTTTAAAGACCAATGAAGGAAAAGATGGCATAGAATTGTAGCTTTAGCTCATAGTTCCATTCAAAGCTAGTGTATTATCTAATCTTCATAACTAGCCATAAATACGGGAAATTTTGTATCTGATTCCATATTCAAAACCTATTTTGCAGCTTTATAACTCCCAAACATGATTCACTCTAATCTACCTCCTTTGTTTTCCTAGTCAAAATTGAGTTGACAAAAATTAATATTCCGAGAATGCTTCTACGAGTTTGATTACCTTTAACCTTATTGCAGAACGGGCAAGCTTCGTATTGATAGAGAACCACCTCCTTGGGGACGAACGACGACCGTGGCGGATCATGAACTACCTCTTGAAGCATAGACGAAGAGGCCACAGAGAAGCACCGGCTATTCCCTGCAACATTTCGAACAAAAGAAAGATCATACAAGCCAAATGGGCTCACTCCTTGCAAAAAGCACCGGATATCGGAGCCTGAGCGCGTTCTGTGAACCGCCGACTGGCGGAGGAGCGGCCGATAATTTGCGGTGGTGGCATCACCACTTACAATTCGGCTGAGCAGATGAACTCCATTAATCCTTCTCATGACGACCAAGATTTCACTGGAAGTTGGATTTCTGCAAGGTTTTGCAAGGGTTTAGGAAAGAGGAACTAGTGAGGTACCAGCCGTTGATCTGAAGACGGTGCACAGTATCACGGTGCTCCGCGAAGCAGTAGATCATACCTCTACGAACTTTCCTACTTTGCGTATGGGAACGCGTCAAACCCCCGCTCCCATGGCATCGTATTTCCGAAAGTACCCTTGTAGTTCAAATTTTCAGTTTCTTATCACAAAATTTCTTTTTTTACTTTATAATTGGAAGGCGCAAAATACTTAAATCCTGAAAATTTATCTGTATCTAATATCGAAAAATTGACGGTTGGTTCCTTCCCACCAATAAAAATCTAAATATTTCCCTTGACTTGACGAGTAAGCTTGTTGATACTGTTATCAAATAAATTATCTTAGTATTATTTAAGAATTGTGGAAGATTATTTTTTTTTCAAAAAAAATTATAGGATAAAATGAACTGAAAAAGTAAGTAATACAAGAATATTAATTATTTTTCTAATAAGTATTTAAATAAGTGATAATATTAATGTTTTTTGAAATTAAATTTTAGAAACTTTGTTCATTTAAGAAATTCATAGAATAGCCATAAATCTCTATAAATATATAAATTTTACCATTTGATCATAGTGGAAACCGGATGAAATTCAAAATTCAAAGTGAGATCGACTTAGATAAAAACTAATAATAATAAATTTCCAATTAAAGGCGTAAAAGGGTAAAATAGGAATTTTAGAGTCGAAAGTCGGTCGATCGGCTCTATAAATAGTGAGGTTCCCCCCATTTAGAAGCCGCGTAAGAGGCTTTTAGGTTTTCTGATTTGCCGCCTACTTCGAAGAAATCGTCTTCTTTCTCCGCTAGGGTTTTCATCGCGATCGTCTTTTTGTTTTGATTTTTTCTGTAATCCAAAGGGCTTTTTTTTCTCTCTCAAATCTCTCATCAGCCGAATCCTTCTTCCCCATCTTAATAGACACAGATGTCTCGTTGCTTTCCTTACCCACCTCCTGGTTACGCGGGGAAGGTGGCTAGGACCGAGGCGGCCTTGATCGAATCGATTAAGGTTTGTTTGAGCTATTTGGTTTGATGATGATAATGTATGCTGGATTCAATTGTGTTCTGATTCCAATTGATTGCGAGATCTTTTTGGAATTTGTAACTTTTTGGATGGGGTATGTATAATCAGGAATGGCTGTTCTTGTAATTTTTATGGGATTTACCCAGAGAGAGGATATAGGAGAGAGTGGAAGAGGATTTTCTTGTTTCGATTGGCGAGGGTTCTGAGTTTTGGACATGATAATAGGGATCTGGATATTGGATTGTTTGGGAGTGTAGATTTAGGTCTGTTCTTCTTTGTGTGTCAAGGAATAAGAGATCTTTGAGGGCTCGAGTGTATAGTGGGTTGGGAGTCTGTTAGTTGCATGTCGTTCACAATGGATCCTTGGATCTTTTATGGATGTTCCGTCTTCGTAAGCAGGAACGATTTTGTAAACATTTGAAACTTATTGTTTCTTTATGTTTTATTGGTCATGGGAAAATCTTGGTTTTATAAGTATTTTCTAACTCATAACCTGTTGTTTTAACTGGATGGCTTCTTAAATCGGGATTTTTTTGCAAGTTTTAAAACGAATAGGTTTAGGGTTTTCGGTAATATGATAAAGACGAACGTTTTGCAATGATATTCCACACAAACTTTTTTTTTCCTTTTGATATACTTAGGCATATGAATACATGCTGTGAATGAAAGAATTTGCTGCTTGACTCTGATTATCTGAGTCCAGATAATAATTCTTCTGTACAATAGAAATAGCTCTTCTTTTGAAGGGTTGCATTTTATGAGTTTGGCCATGGTTGATCTGTTTGGTGCTTGCGTCGTCTGCTCTTTTTGAAATGGTTATTCTGGTGCGTTATAGCTCCAATCTGAAAGACAACAGAGCAAGCATGATAGGAAGAAAGAGAAAAGTAAGCACAGGAAAGAGAGGAGTGAGAAGAGTAAGGAAAAGAAACAGAGAAGAAAAGAACGTAAAGAGAAATCTTCTTGTAGCTGTGACTTGAATGATCAGAAACAAAAGGAATGCGCTAAACAAGCCGAGGACCGTCTAAAGGGAACCAAAGTTGAAGCGGAACAATTAGAAAAGAGTGGCCTTACTGAGGAGCATGGACAACCAGTATGGCCTCAGAGCCCTGGCTATTTGTCTGACGGAACTCAGATCAACCACAAGAGGAAAAGGGATGCTAAATTACAGCCTAATGAAGATTCTAAACCTGGTGGGTTCTCTTTATTGATGATAGGCTCTTTTATGAAATAAGCAAGCACGTGAACAAACTCTAATATGTGTTATTGATCACCAACAGGAAAAATCATCCGGATTAAGCTGGCTTCTTCACTGAGCAACCAAGAGGATTCCTCAGCTGATACACAACAGACGTGTTCTACATCTGGACGCTATGATTGTGTTGATCAGAAGAGGGATGAAAATAGCTGTGGACCCAATCAGCAAAAACCTTGCTTCACCAATTCTAACACAGTTGTAGCTGTTGAGGAGGCTCCTCCTAAACCTCGGATCAAAGATCATTCTCGTTCAGTTCATGCTGTCAAGGACATTCGTCCGCAGGGTAATGTTGTGCCATTCCCTACTCGCACCAGAAGTCCTGCAGAATCCGAATATGAAGCTCTGTTTGAGAAGTGGATTCCACCCCCGCTTCAGTTGGAGCAACAAATGGACGATGAAGAATGGCTCTTTGGGACAAGAAAGCAGGATGGACAAACCACGAAGGCAACCACCAACAAAGCTTTCAGTCCGGTTCCCAGCTGCCGAAGTTCCAGTCTGTGGCCGAGAGGACAGTATCTGCCAGATGCTGATGTCTATTCATTGCCTTACACGATCCCATTTTGATTTAGAATTCTTTACTCTAAAGAGTTAACGTTGTACAGAGCGCCTGTTGGAAATCTTCTTCCTTGGCATTGTTTTAGGATCAATATAAATGATATTCAATTTTGTTCAATTTTGTGGGCACTGATCAAGTGCATCATGATAAATCATGCATTTTGTTGTTGATTATTATTCTTCACATTAAAAAGAATGTCAGCACCTTTTAAGGAGACTATGTTTCAATGGTTCATTTTAATCTTACAACATTAATGTTGACTAAAAATTATCTATCTTCATCATTTAGGGATCTACCCTTCCAAACTAAATTTACAGCAGAACGATTTTGCAGGGTTGTCAAATTGCGCTCTCTTCAAAATGGTTTTTATGCAACTAAAGAAAAGTATCATCAGTATCATCATCTTTGCCTTAATTTAGTGGACATAAACTTCAATAAATTTTAAAAAGTCGGTTAAAAGATCTTTGTTTGTTTCAATGTATTTGATGCCTGAATTAACTTTCCTAATTAAATCTGCAGTTATTAGATTTAGATAGTGGAGTGAGAGACAAGATGATGATGTGAATGGAATTAGACAATATACGTTACGAGAACTAAACCATGTTCATGCCCAGGGAGCAGTTCTTTTAGGTATCTCATTAATACATGAACAATTCAAACAGACAAATTGGGGGGGTTAGCAATGTTGGTCATTACTAACAAACTGATTGCAAAATAAGAAACAAACATCATCACTGTTCTATTTGCATCTTGGAATGTCAGCCTGGGGCCGTATACGATGATGATGATACGATCCCGTCATTCGCCGCTTCCTTGGGATGACACGGATTAAAGATATGCTGAGAAAAAGGCGAGTACATATGAGAAGTCGTTCTTCCGGCACGAGCAAAGCATATTCTTCCTTGATCATAATACGGAACAGACACCCTGTGACTTCTTCTTCTTCTTCTTTGACTTTGGCGGCTGGAGCACCACTTTAATGGCTGCATCGAACACCCCTTTCACATTCTGCAACAAACCATCAAAATAAATTCCTTGAATAACATATGCAGAGATACGAAATGGGGGCAGTGTAAGACAAGAACAGATAGTTGTCATGCCTGCTGAGTTTTTGAACTACACTCAATGTATGCTGGGGCCCCGATTACTTTTCTCAACTCCTCTCCCTTCAGCAAAGAACAGCAAAATTAACCAAAATCCTTTGTACATCCACTTCAGCGGATGTTTATCTAGTTATTTACCTGAACAGTGGTAATAGGCACTGCACCAGGGTGGTTTTCAAAGAACTGCTTGTCATCCCGAAGATCTGAGAATGAACTACTGTCAGGTGATTGTTCTTCTACTCGGTAATTGCAAGTTGTTGAGAATGAATTAATAGGGAAAAATAGAATAAACTTGAAGATGATGCAAAAGGAACTTCATATTATGAACTGCTACTTTCAACAAGTGTGCGACACAGACAACACACAAGAAAGGGAAAAAATAAAACACTGGGCAGTTATGTAATAATGAGATAAGTTTCAGTAAACTGAGAAAAAATTCTTTGAATATAAAGAACTACTGTACGGATGCATACATCTCATAAGTGAAGAAAAGATATCTATCAGAGATTTATGTGTTGAAGATCAGGATTAACCCATTACTCTTCCCGATACATCGCTCTACTTAAGCACCAGATTAAGTGCTTAACCGCCACATGCAAACACAAGCTGACTTGAAAATGAATAAATAATCCTTACCAAGTTTAGTTCCAACAAGAACTATTGGAACACCAGGTGCATAATGTCTCAATTCAGGAATCCACTGTGAGGACAATGTAAAAAAGTTTTATCAGCAAAGGTAATACTTTTTGCATATACAATGTGTATCCAGAAAATGAGGTAATAATCGACTCCATCAACAGCATATGCTACCTTCTTAGCAACATTTTCATAGCTGGCCTTGCTTATGAGAGAGAAAGCAAGAATAAAAACATCAGCACCTCGATAACTCAGTGGTCTTAATCTATTGTAATCCTCTTGACCTGTTCAAAGGAGTGATGTTCAATTCCGTTTAAACATGAAACACACTGAACTTAGTTAGTAGGTGGAGAAATTAGAACTCTCAGTATGTGGTTACCAGCAGTATCCCATAATCCTAGATTGACAGTGCTCCCATCAACCACAACATTGGCACTGAAATTGTCAAAAACGGTAGGCACGTAGTCCTGCAGATCAAAAAGGTCCATATGTGCTGAAATTAGAAATGAAGGTGATAAGGGGAGATTATAGGAAGCCAAAAGTGTCATCCATGGAGTAAAGACTAACAAATTCTGGAGCCTAATGAATACTTGGTCAACTTTTTGAAAAAATATACACTTACAACTTAAAAAAAAAAAAGAAAAAAAAACCTTGGATTAAGATCTCAGAACCTCCACATTACAAACAATGACATTCAAAAGTTTTAAGTATTCATTCGGTTGGACATAGTCATGAGAAGAGAGAGATTCAAGGGGGAAAAAGTCAAATCCTGAGTTAAGGTCAAAGGAATAAAATTTTAACTCTTCAAGGATAGCTAATTCGTGATTTGAACGACCATTTGATGCAATATTACCCAAAAGCCCACACATGTCAGGCAACCATACAAAATTTTCCCATTTGATTAAAAATGGTTTATCTCCCAATCTCTATTACAATTTACACTCCTTCAAAAGGAACATAAAAGAGACAACAATCTTCTAGAAAAAGAAATCCATAAATCCAATCCGTTGAAATCATGCGATGAACAATTAGAGAAGCAACGAAATAAGGTGTACTATCAAGAATGTATCCTAGAAAATAGCGCAGATTATTATCAGTCCCTTGTTTCCTTGGTTCTTCCACAAGATCGCATCAAAACCCGCGAAGAAGCGAGAAGAACTATCAAATCGAAATGAAACCCAAATCCAAAAAAACCTAAAAAAATGAGGAGAAGAAGCATCACCGTGGGGAAGGTGTTGCTCGTATATGAAATCAACATACAGGTTTTACCAACAGCACCATCACCAACCGTTACGCACTTTATAAACCTGGACGCACTCATCTCCTCGTTTGGGCGAAGCAGCAGATCTCCGTGGCCCCGAAGTAGAATGGGTGGGTGGTTTGTGGTGGTTGGTCAGAATCCGTGGCTCATGAGGGCCGGCGGAGAGAATCAACAGTACTCCATTAGGGTCCGGAAAGAGAGTGGGAGATCTGGATTGTTCTTGAATGGAGAGATCCCAAATTGGGGGAGCAGAGAGAGAGAGAAAATGGGATGTGAGAGAGAGAGAAAGAAGAAATGGAGAATTAGAAATGGGGAAAAGAAACAAGTGCGGTTCAAGCGCTCGCCCCCCTACCGGAGCTTCTGCCACCTATACCACTTCCCCCCTTCTACCACAAACACCCACTTTCCCTTTTTTTTTCTTTTTCTTTCTTTTTTTTCTTTATATATAATAAATATTTTCCTTTTCTTTATGTATTTACTCGAGCGGATAAATGCTCAAAAATTTATACTATGGTGTGGGGTAAAACCATTGTACATAGGTTTCTAATATTTAATATCCTACGAGTTGCTCTACCAATCAAATGTTGCAAGATCCGGTCAAGACACTACTTACCTTCTTGAAGATTAGATATTCAAATCTTTTTTCTCTTAAAAATGGGTTATGGGTTTGAATCTCCACCCAATATATTGTTGTACTCAAAAAAATAAATGTGATAAAATTGAGCGGTTATCTATGAGATTAGTCAAAATGCATATAAGTTATCACGTATAAAAAAAATATAGAATGATTCCTCTTTTAAAATATTGACCTTTTACTTTTTATATATTATAAAGGCTCTTATCTAACTGTTGAACATGTGTAACTTGTATTTTTCTTTATTTTTTCACATGGATGATACTAGTATCCATACTCATGTTGGCTATATATTTATATAAATATATATTATGTATAATATTCATACTAATCTCTCATCTCTTATGTTGTACTAAAAAAATATCAATTAGTTAAAATTTTAGGATTAAAATGAAAAGTACCAATATAAAAATATTCAAATATTAATTTCTCATTTCATTTCATGAGGTGAAAGTTTGAATTCTAGTTTATTTCTAATATAATATTTTTCAATGTACAATCAGAATTTTAGGATTAAATTAAAAGTTGAAGTAAGCTTATACTTTAACTTAAAATTGGAACTATTGATTACATTGGACGTTGAATGCTAAAAAAAAAAATAGATAAGTTTTTTTTTTCAATATGTAGGCGTGGAGGTCGAACTCAAACTTTCTTGATTTGAAGATATATATCAATTATCAATGAGCTCGCTTTGACAAAATAGACCAAGTTTAATTTATAAACAACCATTAAATCTTCAAAATTGGTTGTTGGTGCTAATTAAAAGACGGCACAGTAGACCCCATCTTATTATGGTCTAAATTGTGACTTCTGCATATAAATAATTTTTTCATTATATATATATATATATATATAATAAATTTTAAAGTATCATGTATAAATTTTAATTTTATCTTTAAATTAATTCGAGGTCTCTACTCTTAATAATTGTATGTGAAATTTGTACTAAAAAAAATTGTATGTGAAATTATACTTTTTGTTTTAAAAATTACATAAAATATTATTTGATGTAATATTTTTTACCACGGTTTAATGAAATTTTAGACTTTAAAAAACAACATAAAATAAATATATATTTTCAAATATGACACAAATATTGAAATTTTACCTAAGCAAATATAATTTTAATATAAAACAAAAAAAAAAGTCTTTGAAATAAAATGAAAAGTTACAACATATTTTTGAGACGTATATTAAATTTATGCTATCTAATGAATTTTTTATTACGATAGAGAAAATGTTTACAGAGGTAAAATGAAATATAATTATATTTTATTTTTTAGAAATGAAAATAGTAAACCATTACTAATTTGAGCAATTAAGTAGGTTATTCCTCCTTATAAGTCCATATTCAAATATTTTATCCTCATTTTTTATTCTGATCCAATAATCTATAATTTATAAAGTATTATCAAGAATTATTATTGTGATTATCAAGAAATTAATGGAACGTGGCCAGCAACCATTCTTGAAGTCATATAATAGACGTGCCTTGCTCTAATCTAAACGTTTTAATTATTATACTTTAAGTTAAAAAATATTTTTGTTCAGATAAACTTTATATGCAATAATTTAATCACTGTGGTTAAAAATTTGTAAGAATTCAGCTTCAACCTTAAAGAAATCTCATAAAAATTAAATATCATTTTTAATTAGTGTAATGATTTAGTGTTTGTAGTTTATAAATACATTTTGGCCATCCGGATTAAATTGTTATCAAATTTTAAATTATAAAGACTAAATTATTACACGATAAAGTGTATGGACTAATTTGTTATAAATTTGAAAGTATAGTAATTGAATTGTTAGAAATTAAAGTTCAAAGACTAGATCGTTACTTCAATGAAAGCATGATGACGGTCAAAAATGATTTTTAGGGCATATTTTATATCAACCTCAAACCAATCATTGATTTTTTTGTCCTCAATAAAAGAAATATTGTAGTTTTTTCTTTTTTTAAGGCAAAAACAACAAAAAACAAAAATTAAGGAACATTAAAAGAACGATCAACAAAAACAATTCGAGAAAATCTTCAATCCAAGCACGATCCAACCACTAGGTTAAGGCAAGGCGAGTCAATTGGTGAGCTGCACCATTCCCTTGGTGAAAAGTGAAACTGGAGCCGAAAGAAGTCAACTGGAGACACCACCTACAAATATCAATAAGGAGGAGATCCACCTCAGATATATCGTCAGAATATTGATCCAAAAGAGAAAAGCACTAGGAGCTGTCAATCTTGACTTGAAGAGGTTGAAAACACATGTTCCACCGCCAAGGAGAAACCAATGCTAAGAGCTTGTGGCCTTAGCCAGTTCCACCAAATGACAATGAACGAGATACCACGTTGCTGCCAAGAGAACATGTCACACTAGATCCCAACTATCTTAACCATTTGAACTACGTTCAAGTTGTCATCTCATGCTTAATTAATATTCCAAATTTCATTTTTTTTTATTTTGCTCTGTGCTTTGTTTATTTTCAATTTATTTGCTTTTTAACCTAATTTTAGAAATAGTCTTAACAAAAATTAGTTCTCTAAATATTGTTTTCCTTTTAGCTAAAATATGAAAATGTCTTTAAAGTAAGAAAAATATAGCATCAAAACATCTTCACCTTTTGTTTGGTTGACCTTTTCAAGTTAATTTAACCTTAAGTTTTCATTTAACTTAAATCAAATCTTAAAAAATGTACGAAGTTAATATCTTTCTCAAAATAAAATTATAGAAAAAGAGAACTCAAATATAATTATAAATAATTTGAGAAATTTCCACATATTGAGGGGTAAATTAATAAATATATAAAAGATTATGACGATTTTAATATATGTAGCCCTTATTATATTTAGTATTACTCATTAATGACATTAACCATTAAAATTAATAAACTAAATTGCATTGACAAAGTTAATTTTTACAATTAACAAACTTACAAATATCAAAGTATATGAAAGCATAGCTAAAATACATTAAAATATATTGGTTCAATTATAAGTTTATTTGGTCAATGTCTAACAAGTCTATAAACTTTTAATTTTATATACAATTGACTCGAGACTTTTCAACCTTTTAAAAATTTATAGACTTATTAGATATAAATTCAAAATTTTTATTTATTATTATTTTTTTATTCTTTGGAGCCTAATATTTGGAATTTATATTCAATAGGCTAGGGCTTTTCTATTTGATAGTTTTCTTTTTTTTTTTAATTTTAGATACGTATTAGGTATACTATATGTCCTAAAATTGGTCAATGAATAAACTTATAATTTTAACCAAATAATTGAATTTAAATAAGTATCTTTTTACAGAAAAAATACTTTCAAACATAGGTACTGTTGTCAAAAATGTAAAATGAAACTTAATATATATGATGGAGAAAAAGAGAAATACAAATAGGAAACTATATGAAAGGGAAATATCGGGTTGAAAAACTTTCATTTTTATTATTGTTACAGACAAGGGAGCACCCTCCACAGTTTTATAGTATGATATGATTCACTTTGGACATAAGTCCTCACGATTTTGATTTTGGTATCACTCAAAATATCTCATTATTATGGAAATTGTATTCTTCACTTATATACCTAAGATCTTCTCTTTTATGAGCCTAACATTCCCAAGTTAAATCAAGCCCAAGTTAAATTTAATATCAAAATTAACGATGCAAAATATAGTTAYAATATAATCAAAATAACGCCAATTTAAACCTAGCTAATTTAGTCCAGACACTTCAAATTTTCACTCTCATACAATTAAAAATATACAAAAAAAAATAATAATAACTACATAAATGTAAAGCCAAGGTTCAAAAAGTCAACGATATGTCGCTCGACAGGGGGAAAAGTCGATTTTCTCCCCATGTCATCGATATGTCGACATGCCGTTTTTTAAGGTTATTTTATTTTCGTCTTCTTCCTACTATGCCACTACAATCTATAATTTCTCACAACCTCAATTATTGTAATCTTAGTCTGTTTAATGCAACATTCGCATTTTAATACTATAAAATGTATAAATAATAAGATTCGTAATTTGGTTTATTGATAATTTCTAATCCAATCTAGTCCTTAGTTACACAATTGAACAATATATGTGAAATATTGAAATATATAAATTCAAATTAGGTAAAAATTAAAAAGGTAAAATAAAGTGAGAATAATTTGAGTGAATTAGAGATGTGTTTGGTAGTTGTTTAAATTTAATTGAAAAGTTGGATTGATCATTGATTTGAAAATGTGTTTGAAAAATGTGTAAATTCAAATTTGAAAAGAGAGGTAGGTAAAAAGTAAAAAGGTACGAGTTAATTAGAATTTAGAAATGGGTTTGGAAATGAAGTCAGTAATTATCTCATTTCCTAATGAATCAGTTTACAATTAAAGTATACTCTACGTATTCAAATAATTTCCATCAATCTTTTTTTGATATTTCCATCGACGTCGACATTTTCATAAGTAAAATTGTCATATTCTTAATTAAAGGTGATCAATTATATGCTAATGAAACTACAATTTAAGTTTTATTTGCTAATTCAAAAAATTTTCATCAACTTCCACAATTTCATTATTTTTCTCGAAATATCCATCGATATCGACATGTTCGTAAAATCAAGACTTCGACATTTTTAACCTTACCTAAAACAAACCAAAGTCTGAATCAAAATAGTATCAAAATCAAAATTTGAATATATAGTTGGAGAGGATAACGAATCATGTGAAGATAGTGAAAAGGACACGGGAAAGAGAATGAAGAGACAATAATGAGTAAAGGAAGGGAATATAATAATATAATTTCTTTTTTTTTTGTTTTTTAACCACGAATATAATAATATATTATGTTATATTGAATCCCACTGATTGCGGGGAATCACTCACGAGATTCACCAAACGGCGCTTCGGAATTCGGGATCCCCACATGCCTTTCTATTTTCTTCCTTTTTTTTTTCATTTTCTAAATACCATTTTCCAATTTCCACACAGTTGTGAAATTAAAATATTTTTTTTTTTGGTCTCTAGATTCGGTCTGGGGGATTTTTTGTTTGCCAAATGCCAATATAGCCAAAGACAAATAGACGTGACAATAATAAATTATATAATAATGTTTCACTTTATACTTTCGGCTCTCTCTCACTTATCCTTATATATATTTCTCAAAAAATTTTTTAGAACAATATATATTTCTCAAATCATTTCCACATACCAGTGCAAAATAATGCTTTTTTGTTTCGTACACTCAATTTAACATAATTGAAGATTAAGATATATATTACCAATCAAAACGAATATAACTTAGTGATAATGACATATATTTTTAATAAAAAAATTGTGAATTTTGATCTCCACCCTCACATATTATACTAAWAAAAAAAGATATATATTACCAATTATAATATCAGAGATTTGTGAGGTTATTCATTTGTTCATTTATTTTATTGTGATGTTTTATAATTTATAAGGCCAAAGACGACGAGTCTATATCGTTCAAAGGCCTTTATACGCTGTAGTTCATCTTGTTTGTACTCACAAAAAAAAAAAACTTAGATTAATAAATACTTTAACATGGGACAAAATTAGAATTTAACATCCTTAGATATTCGAGTGTGTCTATGATCCGTGTTTGAAATGTTCGTTTTAAATTTTAAAGTCATTTTAATGCCAAATAGAAATCAATCTGCCATGCAATATCTTTTTATCCAAAATAATGTGATTTCACAATTATGTCAGACCTTAGTTAAGAATAAATAAAAGAAAATTCATTTCAAACTTGCTAAATTAAGTCCGAATAATTTTCTTGCCCACATAATTTCTTAATAATTGGCCAATATAAAAAATTGTGAAAATTACACACAAAAAAATATTATCAACTGTAAGATATCATATTTCATATCATGCTTTCCCGGAGGAAAAGAAAAAAAGAAAAAAAAAAACTCTTGAGATATTATATTACATTTAGTCACTCATCAACTAAATTTTTTTAGTACAGTAAACTGAAACTCTTTGACTATTACAAAAAGTCATAATTAAATATTAAACTTACTAGACCAAAATTCAAGTGATAGTTTTACCTCGAACTACCAGGTTTTGAGTTCGATCCTCCAACCCACATATTGTATTAAGAAAAAGTAGTAATTTTACTAGATTAATAAAAAAATAATAGCGGAATATAAAAGGTATTTAATTTAATACCTCACGCATTTACCATATTTTACAATATTAACCTTTATATTTTATTATTGCCATGCAGTATTTGGATTATGCAATGTCATAAACAATGAACACCTAGACGCATTGTGATCTTTAAGAAAGACAGTTAAAAATATAAAAAGTAAAAACGTAACTCGCGATTCGAGCTGCCTTGATTGAGTCAAGTCGGGAGTGGACATGTCAACTTGACTTAGGTCATTTGACCCACGTTGCTTCTTTGGACTCGCTTCGATTAAAACTTAACATGGTAATTTCACTTATTACGATTATCTATCAAAAGTGGAAGGGGTAAATGCCTTTGACAAAACAATTCTAATTTATAGTCTCTCGTTGTCTAGAATATAGATTTCAATAGTTAACAACTAAAATAGACAAATATCTAGAAGTTCATAGCCCAAAATAAATATTTCGAAAAGTTCAAGAATTAAAATTGGACAAAAAAATTATAGATACCAAAATATAATCTAACCCATTATTTAATACCCTCATTGTATTAAAAAAATCAATTATTTGTCAAAACCAGCATACTTCAACGGACATAGTGAGTTTGATCTCCACCCCACAGTTGTATTTAAAAAAAAAAACCAATTATTTAATATTAATTACATACTCCGTAAAAAAAGAAAAAGAAAACATGAGTATATTAAAAAAGGCCTGCGTAGGAGGCCCAGTCCAATGAGTGGCATTTTCGAAAATAATAGTGTTAGGAAGGAAAACCAGAAAAAAGAAAAAGAAAAAAACCTCATTGCAGTTTCTCGCCCAGCGGCTGCGATTTTTCAATCCCCCTCCCCAGTCTCCACCTCCCTCGCCGCTCGTCACTTGCTCCTTCGCCAGCGCCGCCGCCGCCGCCACCGCCACCGCCACCGCCGCCGCCGCTCGCTGAACTTTTCACTCCATCTCTCTACGACGAGTCTTCATTCGGTAAATAGTCAACCATCTTCGTTCTCTCCCTCAATGTCTTCTGAAATCGGTTGAGATATTTTGATTGGGGCTTTGGCTTTCAAAATGAAAAATCGATGGGCCGACTAGGCAAGATGGAGCGTTTCCCTCCGGCCAATATTTCCGAGCGGTTCGGTTCGGTTCGGTCCTAGAAATGTATGAGCCGACCGAACCAATTCACAGTGTTGTTCCCTTCCCAGAGGATTCAAGCTTACAAAACTCGACCTTCTTTGGTTCTTGTGAGGAATAGAACGAAACCATCATCGTTTTCATCGAGGGCAAGGGCAATCTACTCCCTCTCCGCATTGCCAAGATTTCCTTAATATTAAGTTTCTCCATTTCAACGAGCTTTGGGCTCAACAATTTCTGAAACTGCGAGGAGGGGGGTCGATTATTGATCCATAGCTCCTCCCAAGTATTGCAAGGTACTTAGAGAAGAGTTCAGCTGTCTTTGACTGGAAATAGCCACCGACTTCAATAAACTTTGCAGGAATCTTGAGTATATATGGATGATAGGTGGACCAGTTTGAGCTTATTAAACTGATTAAATTGAGTTTTCCTCTTGATGTGAGATGGCCGCTTGAGGTTCCCACTGCAAATTATTTGATATCTGAATAACACATCTGAACTTTTTTGAGAGATTATGTTCGTTGTGGTTTATTGGGGATCTGAGGTTCCTCATTCTTTTTCATTGCTGTCTTAGATTAATGACTATCTAGATGAAGCGCCAGTTTCTCCTATTACTTTGTTAGTTTCCTCCAGTTATTGTTCTTCCCGTTCACTTCTTCTACGGCCTGTTTTGGTTTGGGAACTCGGTTCACCAATCTCCCCTTTTGCTATCACAATTCGACCAACCTTATGAAGCTCACCTTTCTTTACTTTTAAGTTTTAGCATTGTTTTAATCTCATATGTGTTGTAATTTGAATTTCTTCTAAATTTCTAGTTATTCTTACTTTTATCTTTTTTATGTGTGACATTGTTAGTTTGAAGCACTCAGAGAAGCAGCAAGGGCAATTTATGGCTTATTCTCGTGGACACGACTTCTTGTTTTGCAACTTGTGTGGGACTATGCTATCTTTCAGCTCAACGAAATATGTTGAGTGTCCTTTGTGCAAGTCCAGGCGTAGTGCAAAAGGTGGACATACCTTTCTTTAGCTATTTACTTTTAGTTTTTCATTTTGGATATCTGAAACATTCAATCACAAATTACTTGGATAAATGAGTGCTCAAGTTGTATACCTTGCAATAATTACACTCATTTTATTTGATCTTACTACATTATGTTGTGCAGTGGATTTTTCCTTCCTGTTTATCTACTTAATTAGTAAAAATGTGAAAGGCATCATTTTGATTTTCAGCTTTTATCACGAGTCTCTATTCTTTAATGATTAATGTTTCTACTAGTAGAAAAGAATTGTCTCCGGGTCGTGCAAGATGTTTTTTCTTCAATCTATCAATATAAATTTAAAGAATTCCTTGTGTAGTTAGGAGAGTTTCGATAAGGGAATTTCCACCATCTTCTCCTTTGAGTGTTCAACTTGAGTAGCTAATCACTTTCTTTTAAAAAGTTTATTTGATGAAGGTTAGCTATGTTTTCTTTGGTACCTTAGTTTAAATCAAAGCATGGGTAAGTTGACTAATATTGTTATGATGAACAACCTTCTTCCATTAGGACGAATGAAAGTTCAAAAAGGACCATCGATGGATGTAGAAAACTTTCCACTAAGTTTACTGCCATAGCTCTGGTCAATAAGTGGCTTAGGCCATCTACGGATGAGACAAAAAGAAACGAAGAAAGATGATCCCTTTGATGTAACCTTTTGTAGCCAAAACCTTTCATCTAGCTTTGCTATTCAAAAAAGAACCCAGAAGTCCATGGAGAAGAGACATCCTTCAATTCACGTTCTCCACCTCTGCCCAACTCATTAACCATAAGGATCAAGTCTATAATTTGGAAATTTTCAACAAAAGCCAGCTGAAATTTTGAGATCGTTCTAGGGTGGTCAGTTCTGATCCTGTTAGCAAAAACTTCAACAAGATTCTTATAAGGGCTTATAGTTAGGCTTATGGGTCATTGGGTCTATTGTCTTTCACTTGGCGTTATCCTCATTAGCCATAAGGGCAATATAAGTCTTGCTTATAATCACATTAACAATTTCATTTCTTAAAGAAGCTTGGAATGTTGACATGATATCATGCTTGAGAAAAAAATCCCACGACATTGTGATGAATTCTAAGGAGAAGCCATCTAGGTCCGTGGCTTTGCTCGCCAAGACAGGAAATAGCCCTTTGAACTTTATGCTAAATAAAAGCCTGCGGGATGAGAGCACCAGCTGTAGAGACAGGACTCCAAAATAAGCCATGGAAGATAAAGTACCACTACGAGTTATCCTCCAAAGACTGATTTTGGGTGGTTCTTTCAGAAAGGCTTAGTATGGTAGACTGCTGTGGTTTTGACGTTTCGAACTTCAGATTCAGAAGGCAGCTAACTGGTCTGTGGATGAATGAATAGGCTGAGTCATTCCTTATTTTGAAAGATTATTTCTCAAACTAGTAAAAGATGGACCTTGGAAACTCTAGATTGATTCCTTCCGAATCTTATTTCACCTTTCTCCCTAGTCCCTACCATGGATGAGCTCTGTAATTGTTTCATCGCAAAAGATATATGGAAGAAGAGATTACCCAAGTAGGTCAAATTCTTCGTTTGGACGTTGATCCTGGCTGGTAACAGTACAAATAAATTGCAACAAAGATTCCAATTTGAGCTAGTGTATCAGTGTATGTACGAGAAAACTTTTCCAGAATCAGAATCATCAGTTCAGTGACGAAGTTGCTTACAGATGTTGGGAAAAACTTTGAAGACCACCTATGGTCCTTAGCTGGTGTTTTCTTCACAACCCCAAGAATAATTATTTGTGCATGCTTTTTATGGACTATGGACGTCTTTTTTCTTATAGAACGTGTGCATCCTTTCAAGAAGGCAAGGATTATTGGGTGAATGAATGGGGTTTGAGCTATTTTGTGGGTGCTTTGGGTCGAGAGGAATGATAAAAGTTTTGATTCAGAAGTTTGTAGGATTTGTGGAGTCTGTTTTGTTTTTGGGTTTCTATTGGTGTACCCTTTAAGTTCTCTCTCTTTTGGTAGGTGAAACGATTTTGTTAAAAAAAATGAACTCGCAAAACAAGGAGAGGAAAGTTTTTAAAACATGTTGCAAGAACTAAAATGAATGTGCATTTTTTTTTTTTTGATAACCGGGAGTCAGAGCTTTGCAATTAAGCTTTTGCAACCTATTAGTTTTAAGCTTTTAGTTCTAATGATGATTCAATGTGGTTTCAAAGTAGTTAGTCTTAAACATCAAATTGTTGTAATGTTGTTTCCTCCCCCATTTAATATTTATAGAGTTTACATGTTTGGTTTCATACTAATATCCAAGCCCATAGGAGAAGGGAAGGGTTGAAGATGTATTGAAAGGATCTGAGTTC